TTTTAAAGGACATTCCTTTTGTTAATTTTGAGAGGAAATGCATTAGCATAATCTATCTTTAAAATGCAGAACGCAGCTGCTTTTTCTTGCTACAAAATTCACGCTGGCCTTGTTCCAGATATCTCTCAGAAAGCAGATATGCTCTTGATGCGATAGGATAACGTTATCCAGATCGAACCTTCCCCAGATCTAACCTTCCATAATCTGGTTGATGCAAAGAAAAGGTTGGGATCCCCAAATCGCTGCCCTGGTAGCGCAGCAGACTAAAGCACTGTTATTAACATCAGCTGCCTGCAATTACTGCAAGTTCAAATCTCGCCAGGTTCAAGGTTGACTCAGCCTTCCATCCTTTCTAAGGTAGGTAAAATGAGGACCAGATTGTGGGGGCAATAAGCTGACTTTGTATAAATATACAAAGTATGAAGGCTATTGCTTAACGCATTGTAAGCCGCCCTGAGTCTTTGGAGAAGGGCGGCATATAAATCAAATCAAAATAAAAAATAAAAAATTCTCCAAAGCACCTGAAGGCAGGAAAGAAGCAACGGGTGGAAACTAATCAAGGAGAGAAGCAACTTAGAACTAAGGAGAAATTTCCTGACAGTTACAACAATTAACCAGTGGAACAACTGCCTCCAGAAGCTGTGAATTCTCCAACACTGGAAGTTTTTAAGAAGATGTTGGATAACCATTTGTCTGAAGTGGTGTAGGGTTTCCTGCCTAAGCAGGGGGTTGGACTAGAAGACCTCCAAGGTCCCTTCCAACTCTGTTATTCTATTTTAAAGGATGCCAAGTTAGATCTGGAAGGGCCCGAGTGGATGGCCTCCTATTTTATTTTATTTTTTTAATTTGATTTATATGCCGCCCTTCTCCGGAGATTCAGGGCGGCTTACAATGTGCTCAGCAATAGCCTTCATCCTTTTGTATATTTATACAAAGTCAGCTTATTGCCCCCACAAACTGGGTCCTCAATTTACCTACCTTAGAAAGGATGGAAGGCTGAGTCAATCTTGAGCCTTGGCGAGATTCGAACCTGCAGTAATTGCAGGCAGCTGGTCTTAATAACCAGCTTAATAAACAGGGTGCCTTAGACCACTGTACTACCAAGGCTCTTATTTAAAAAAGAAAAGGGGAAAAAAAACCCCAACCCCAAATCTTTGCTTTGGTATCCATCAAATCTTTCCTCTCCTCCCTGCCCGTTAACAACATGAGCACTTCAGGGATTTCAGTATTTCAAAGAACCTCGTAAAGTGCAATTAAAGTAATTAGGAATCAGGCTAATGAGAATAAACTCTTTAATCCTCACTCGATTCCTATGAGAGCCAAAGTTTTGTTATCTACACACTTATTAATTCAGAAGAGATGGGAGACAGGAGTAGGAGAGGAGGGGAAAAAACCCCCCAGAAAAATAAAAAGACGCAGAGAGTCGGTGACTTAAGTCAAACGCAGCTAGTCTTAGAAAGAAGGACCCAGATATTCTCATTAACAGCAGATTAATGAACAGGACTTCATCCTAGGCACCCCGCTGACATAAGCAGGTAGGAAGAATGGTTAGCGTTCATCGAGAGAGTCCCTTTGGTTGAAAACTGGCACCATTGTGAGTGTCCTGACATACGGCATTCTTGCATGTATGGGAGCAGCTCCGTAGCGGACAAAAATGCTCTACAGAGGATCATTAAAACCACCCAGAATATCATCGGACTCCAGCTACCAGCCCTGGACGACATCTTCGCATCTCGCTGTTTGGGGAAGTTACACAACGTTCTCAGAGACTCTTCCCATCCTGCTTACAATCTTTTTTGGGACTGTTGCCTTCTGGCAGAAGATACAGGACAATTAAAACTCGGACCACACGTCTTCTGAATAGTTTTTATCCCAGAGCTATCATTGCACTCAACCATGAACTAAAGGGCCACCATCAGTGAACTGTTGGACAGCATTACTTGGTCTGTTGTGTGGATGTTTGGGTGGTTTAGGGGCGAGGAATTTGTGGTGGGTGGGAGTGTGTTTGGGGATTGTTATGTGTGTTGGACCTGGTCTTTGGGTGTTAAGTGAATTTCGTTGTATGGGTATACTGTGTATACATGTACAATGACAATAAAGTTGTTGTTATTATTATTATTTACTTTATTCATTAAACATGAAACCCAATCAACTGAACATTCAAAAATGCATCACAAATACCATTGACTGATGCTAATGGTTGATACGGGTTGCTGCCAGCGTCCTAGGGATCAACCAAGGACCTTCGTAAGATGTACGACGCTCCAAGTAGCACCGTTTTTTGCAGTTCTGCTGGTGTTATTGCAGGAAGTTGCAATTTGCTGATGTACCTTATAAAATTCTTGGACATGGTACCAAGTGCCCCAATAATTGGACTAGAACTCACTGTCTCCTGTTTTCTAGCCTGATGACTTAACCATTATACATGTCGGAAGAAATGTTTTGGGCAAGAGTTTTGCAAATCTTATCCAGAAAGCTAAACTGGAAGGCAGTTCTAGAGATTAAAAATCTGGCTGTAAACAAGAATGAAAATAATATTCCAGGGGAAAAAAAATTGTAAACCCAGGACAGACGATGGAGAACATTAACCATGGACAAGCATAAAATCCAGGTTCTGTACACCAATATAGGTAACCCTTGACTTTCAATCATTCGTTATGATTGCCTTAGAAGAGTGAACAGGCTGAAGAACAGTTTTTACTCTGTCAGACTCCTGAATGAGAAATAACATCATAACTACGTAGTATGATGGACTGCAGGGCCGGTGCAACGGGTAACATGTTCACACTGGTGCAATAGGACTGGCTGTTTTGTTAATAGGATTTATTGGGTTAGGGATTTTCTGTCTTCACTGTGAGTTGTATTGTGTTGGGGGCGGGGGCTGCACTGAGGGAGCTCAACCAATCTCATTGCGCATATGCTGTGTGTGCACTGACAATAAAGATCTGAAATTGAAGTCAACATCCTCCGAGCGTGGTAGGAGACGTATACACCAAGGTGGAAGCCAAACCACTTTGCAAGCCTAACCGTGAGTAGGAATCGAATGCGTTGCGCTCATCCACCTCTCCTCTCCTCAACTCACCTGGTGTTTTCTTCCGTTATCTTGATCACATTGCAAAATCCCATGGAGGCCAGGTGCTTGTGAAAGAAAAATCCCTGCAGATCAAAAAAGGACAGAATTTAAAGACAGCAGCTCTTCTGCTCTTCTGGCCCCCAAAGAGCCTTCCTTCTCTCTTCTCCTAGCTACAAGAGAGAAACGCAACACAAGTTTACTACAAATGATTAAGATCTTCCTAACCCAGAACAAGGGAGCTGAGCTTTCTCTCTCCATAAGCTTTCTCCATTGAGCCACGGTGGCGCAGTGGTTAGAGTGCAGTACTGCAGGCTCCTTCTGCTGGCTGCTGGCTGCCTGCAATTTGGCAGTTCGAAACTCACCAGGCTCAAGGTAGACTCAGCCAGTTTTCACCTCTTCTTTCACTTTTATATACCACCAATCAGTTTATAATCCAATCCAAATTGAATCCAAGTTCCAGATTGACATTTCCATTTGTCAATCACTTTTAATTCTTTATTCGGGTTCTTCTATGGCGCGCTTGTCATTCTCGCTTTCTCTTTCCATCCGCCATCTCCCCCGCCGCTATTTCCATGCCAGGGTAATTTTAGTAATAGTTTAGTAATTAAAAATATTTAGAATTTTCTTTTTATTCTCTGTGGGTTAGCCAATCACTCACCCAACACCAGCACTCTGTCCAAATCTTCCCTCCTGCACATCGCTTGCTCCAGAGGCTCCAGCTTCATGGCGATTCACTCTGATCGCTGCCCATCACTGGCTCGGAGAGAGTTTCTCGGGCTATCCAAGGGACTTGCCTGTCCCTCTTTAGACACCGAGCTGCCTCTCTTTCTTCGCTGTCCCTACAGGACAGCTTCAGTCCAAAGACCCCTCCGGTGTCGGTTCGTCTGGCTGGTTTTTGCCGAGCTCGTCGGAGCCCGGCATTTTCCCAGCCAGTCACGCCGTGCCGCTTCCGGAGTTCGATCCTGACTGGCTCAAGGTTGACTCAGCCTTCCATCCTTCCGGGTGGATAAAATGAGGACACAGATTGTTGGGGGTAATAGGCTGACTGTAAATCACTTAGAGAGGGCTGTAAAAGCACCGTGAAGCAGTATATAAATCTAAGTGGTGTTGCTGTAAGTGATATGCTAGATGTTCTAGAACAGGGCTTCCCAATGTTGGCCAACTTTAAGAAGTGTGGACTTCAACTCCCAGAATTCCCCAGTCAACTATCCTTAAAAGAAAAACCACTTAAAAGAAAAAAAAAACAGTTTACTAGCGAATTAGCCTCCCCTTGCCTCAAACAGAGGCTAAAAAAATCTTTGTCTGAAACATTTTAATCAGAGTTATCCTAGGTACGGATTTGAAAATCCAACTGACCTCTTTCAACTCTAAAATTCAATTAACTAATTATTGCTTATCGTACTATCCAAGCCAAGAACCGAGGCCACCCACTATCTCTATACAGATCATTCCCAACATGCTACCACAAATGGTTGCGAAACGATGCAGTTCTTAAATGAGTTATCAGGTGACCAGACCAGATTTTCCAACCATTTTTACTGTGGTTGTTAAGAGAACCATGTGGTCATTAAATGAATCTGGCTTCCCCATTGACTCTGCTTCTCAGAAGCTAGTTGGAAATCGTGATCACATGACCATTAAATGCTGCGACGGTCATAAAAGCGAGGCAGTGGCCAAGGGCCCGAATTGTGAACATTTAATTGGGGGGGGTTAACTTCGAGGAGGGATTGTAAGTCGTTGTTTCTGAAACGGTTGTAACTTTGAAATGTTGTTAAACCAACGGTCGTAAGTTGAGGTATTGTCTCTGCACTAATTTCCTCCTTTTGATGGCTTGGAAATTTCAAGGACGTTATAAAAATAAATATACTGGGACCCCAAAAAAGAGACCAGTTTTGGACTTGTGTTAACTCTCCCACCCCAATTCTAAAGAAAATTTTTTAAAAAAGGAAGCAACAGGAATTCAAGAAAATCGAGTTCTTTCCAAATTGGCTCGTCAGCAGCGTGGGAACCCAATAAAAGCGGAATAAAACGCCGAACTAAAAAAAAAAATAGATTTTGGATAGAATCGAGCAAAAGCTTTCTTTATTCGTCCCTTTCCATCAATTCCTTACCCAGCTCTTCGAGGTGCATTTTTGGCAGCAGCGCCCAACAAAGGACCGGTATTTGCCCAAATAAGGTCTGACGATGTCCAGGTTGACCCCCGAGTCCATGGTCAAGATTTGCACCTGAGGGAGAATCCAACAACTTTTAATTAGTCACGTGGAAATCACAACATTGACAAAACAATCGTTTTTTTTAACAATAGTGTTAGACAAAGAATGTTTTGCTGCAGTAGATTGCCTCCAGCAGGAATCCATCAAGAAGTCCAAATGTTTCTGTTGTTTTTAACCCCTCTGTGTACTTTTCGAAAAAAAAGTACGGAAGATGCAATGTAGAACAGAGAATAACAGAGTTGGAAGGGACCCTGGAGGTCATCTAGTCCAACCCCCCGCCCAAGCAGGAGACCCAACACCATTTCTGACAGAGGGCAGTCCAGTCTCTTCTTGAAAGCTTCCAGTGATGAAGCTCCCACAACTTCTGAATAACAGAAGCTATGTAACAGAACAAAAAGAGCCTTGGTGGCGCAGCAGACTAAAGTGCTGTTAACTAGCACCAGCTGCCTGCAATTACTGCGAGTTCGAATCTCACCAGGCTCAAGATTGACTCAGCCTTCCATCCTTTCGAGGTAGGTAAAATGAGGACCCGGATTGTGGGGGCAAATAAACTGACTTTGTATAAAAAAGAGCACCGCTTAGGGGGGGCCGAAAGCCCTACTAAGCAGGTATATACAAAAGTAGGAAGGTTATTGCTTAACGCATTGTAAGCCGCCCTGAGTCTCCGGAGAAGAGCGGCATATAAATCTGGTGAGAACCTGGAGCATTTCAACCCTGAATTGGATGATCGTACAAATAATGTTTCCAAAGATTCTCAAATTGAAATATAAGAGATTTTAACTGGGATTATTTCATGGAAGTTACAAAAGGGCTTGCATAAAGATGATAAGAACTTCAAGAGAAGAGGCAAAAAACATGAGAAGAAAACAGGCATTATCTATGAGATTTAAGGATGGCAGGAAGAAAGAAGGGAAAAAAAAACACAAAATTGGTTTATTCGATTGTGGTTAAATAATGGGTTGCTATCTGGGGGGTAATGCTTAATGGTTAACTTGGCCTGGATTGTTTCTCTTGGAAATTGTTTGAATGGTGGGGTGGATGGATTAGTTTTATAATATTTAAATTCTGAATATGTAAATAAGGGGTTATTATTTCTAATTTGTTTTCTTTTTCGTTGCAGTGTTTAATTCTTTAGAGGAGGCGGAAGGGGAGTTAGATTAAATGGAAAAGGGGGATTATATACTTAGGATTTTAGGTATTTATGTTAATTTTCACTGGACCTTTGTTGGTTATTAAGGAGAGCTTAAGAGTTTTAAGGAGAATTTAAGATTTAAAGATGAGTTTACAAAAATTGGGGCGAGGGCTGGAATAAAGATATATCAACCAGATACATGTGATTCTGCTTCACGAGACGGTGATAAATTCAGAACAGTGAATATGTTTATTATACGAGACGAAAAGGGAAATTACTTTCTCTTTCTATCTTTTTTCGGGGGGGGGGATTTTTTCCACCCTTTTTCTTATTAGTACAGGCAGACCTCGATTTACGTCCCCCCAAATTGAGCCCAAAATGTAGGTTGCTGAAGGAGATATTCGTTAAGTGAGTTTTGCCTCATTTTACGACTTCTCTTGCTACCGTTAAATGAATCATTGCAGTTGCTAAAAGCTGGTAACCGGTTGTTAAGTGAATCTGGCTTTCCACATTGACTTTGCAGGGACACTGCAAATCGTCATAAATATGAATCAGTTGCCAAGCGTCTGGATTTCGATCACATAACCACAGGGTTGCTTACTATGGTCGCAAGTGTGAAAAACGGTCATAAGTCAGGTACTCCCAGACACCCACTCGGTCGATGGGTACAAAGCGAGACCACCCCCAGGCAGGGCGCCATCATGTTGTGTTGGTGGAAGAGATTCTCCTACACATAAACAACTACTCTGCTTTTTTTGGGGTGGGGGAAACATCCAAGAACAGTTCTACAGCCTTTCTCTCTCTCTCTCTTTCTTTTTTCTTTCTTTCTCTTTCTCTCTTTTTCTTTCTTCTCTCTCCATCCCTCCCTCCCTCTTTTTTTCTTTTTTTTCTTTCTCCTCCCTTCTTTCTTTCCTTTTTCTTTCTTTCTTTCTTCCTTCCTTTCTCTTTCCTCTCTCCCTCCCTCCCTTTCGCTTTCTATCTTTCTCTTTTTCTTTCTTTCTTTCTCCTCCCTTTCTTTCCTTCTGTTTCTTTCTTTCTTTTCCTTTTTCTTTCCTCTCCATCCTTCCCTCCCTTTCACTTTCTTTTTCTTTTTCTCTTTCTTTCTTTCTCCTCCCTTTCCTTCTTTTTCTTTCTTTCTTTCTTCCTTTCTTTTTCTTTCCTCCCTCCCTCCCTCCTTTCTCTATCTTTTTCTTTCTCTCTTTCTCCTCCCTTCTTTCTTTCCTTGTTTCTTTCTTTCTTTCTTTCTTTTCCTTCCTTCCTTTCTCTTTCCTCTCCATCCCTCCCTTTCTTTCTTTCTCTTTCTTTCCTCCCTCTCCATCTCTCCCTCTCACCTTTCTATCTCTTTCTTTCTCTTTCTCCTTCCTTCTTTCTTTTTTTCTTTTTCTTTCTTTTTCTTTCCTCTCTCCCTCCCTCCCTTTCTCTTTCTATCTCTTTTTCTCCTTTTTCTTTCTTTCTTTCCTCTCTGCCTCCCTCCATTCCTCCTTTCTCTTTCTATCTTTTTCTTTCTTTCTTTATTCTTTCTCCTTCTTTCTCTTTCCTCTCTGCCTCCCTCCCTCCCTCCTTTCTCTTTCTTTTTCTTTCTCTTTCTTTCTCTCTTTCTCCTTCTTTCTCTCTTTCTTTCCTCTCTGCCTCCCTCCCTCCCTCCCTCCCTCCTCTCTCTCTCTTTCCCTCTCTGTTTTATAGAGTTTTAATCCAAGGTAATGTTTTATGTTGTGACTGCTGTACACCGTTTGTGCACCACCAACATTCCTACAGTTATCAGGGGGGTCTAGAAGAATAAAAAGTGAGGGGGTTTTTTGTTCTGGGCCTTTCAGAAAATTACCTATATGCGTACACACAACAAAAGTGGTATAGAAACAAACGCATACAGCTGCACAACAGGGAGGTTTGATCTATTATTCTTTTGGGGGAGGAGAAAAAAAAACCAGCCGTGCCATTTAGCTTCCCTGTTAAAACGACGATGAAGGCAGCAGCAGGCTGAAGATTGTGTTAAGAGCTTGTGAACTTAGCACAACAATGCTTGGTGGGATCAGGTCCAAGTCGAACCCTCCTAACCGGCCAGCAACCTATTCAAAATCCACCTTGATTCCAATCTCGAGGAGCCCAGAAAAATGCTACGGTCCCACTTCCTCTTTCAAAACCTTCCCTTTTGTCTCTTTTCCTTCCCACTCCTGGGTTCCCACGTCTTGTGCATGAGAACGGAGGAGACCACGTTATTATCATATAATGCAAGGAAAAAGGGGAGGGGGAGGAGGAGGAGGAGGGGAAGTATTTGTTCACAACAGCCTCAGGAAGGTGTTTGCTGAATGCAGCTGCCTCCACACCATTCATAATCTCCCACCTGGCAAACTAACCACCAACGAAAGATCTGACCTTGGATTTACAGAGGCTCATTCAGAAGCGAATGAAGCCCGAACGATATCAGAGGAAGAGGTCAGGCTCATAGACTTCGGAGGTCTTCTGGTCCAACCCCTCGCCCAAGGCAGGAGACTGATCTTCCTTCCTTCCTTTCTTTCCATCCTCTTTCTCTTTCTTTCTTTCCTTCCTTCCTCTTTCTCTCGTTCCTTTCCATTCTTTCTCTCCTTCTTTCCTTCCTTTTTCTCTCCTTCCTTTCCATCCTTTCTCTCCTTTGCTTTTCTTCCTCTTTCTCTCCTTCCTTTCTCTCCTTCCTCTCCTTCCTTTCCATCCTTTCTCTCCTTTCCTTTTTCTCTTCCTTTCGTTCCTTTTTCTCTCCTTTCCATCCTTCTTTCCTTCCTTCCTTTTCTCCCCTTCCTTTCCATCCCTTGCTTTTCTTCCTTTTTCTCTCTTTCCATCCTTTCTCTCCTTTCCTTCCTTCCTCTCCTTCCTTTCTTTCCTTCCTTCCTTTCTCATTCCTTTCCATTCTTTCTCTCCTTTCCTTCCTTTTTCTCTCCTTCCTTTCCATCCTTTCTCTCCTTTGCTTCTTTTCTTCCTCTTTCTCTCCTTCCTTTCCATCCAATAAAATTATTCCTATTCTCTTCCATTCTCTTCCCTTCCCTTCCATTTCCCTATTCTATTCTTTTTCTCTCTTCTAATCTCTTCTGTTCTGTTCTGTTGTTCTGTCCTGTAGCTTTTTCAGTTGCCCTGACTCAATTTCCAGACAACCAGATGAGCTCATTGTACTTTATGGTAAGGTTTGCAACAACCGAATCTTTCCAAGTGTGAAAGTACAATTCTCCTCCCATTTTCTTTACCCCCAAAATTAGGGGAAGGGGGGGGGGGGAAATCCCGCCCTTGGTCCTTCTGTAGACTCAGGTGTCCCTTACCTGACTGTCCCCTTGGGGGCCTCTCTGGGCCAACTTTTCAAGGTCATTCCCACATACCCTTAAGACCTGCCCTCCATCACTAGGGAGCCTTTGGAAATCTGAGTGAATGCTTTTATTGCAGGAGTGCCCAACCTTGGCAACTTATAACTTAACAACTGCAGCGACCACTGTGTCCAACATCTCATTCAATGCCATAAAGAGGAATGCAAATATATTATTTTCTTTTTCCGCAGTTATTCCTCACGTAGCAACGCTCCCGACCTCTTTCATCTGCTGCTGGAGGATAATTATACATATCAATAATAACATTCCCCCCCCTGAACCGATCTTTGCATGGAAAATGAACCCCAGTGCCTAGAGAAATGATGGATTATTTAACACGGAGGGAGGGAAGGGAGAAAAAAAAAGTAAGGCGGGCTTAGAAAAATAAAAGTTTTCGCAAATACCATACCTGCGAATGTGGAGGTATAGAAAGCCAATACGGCAAGAAAAACAAAAATGTAGACATACTTTTTTTAAAAAGTTATTTTATGGCCTAACAAAATTAAAGCAGTGGTAAAATCCAATTTTTTTTACTACCGGTTCTGTGGGTGTGGCTTGGTGGGCGTGACAGGGAAAGGATACTGTAAAATCTCCATTCCCACCCCACTCCAGGGGGAAGGATACTGCAAAATCCCCATTCCCTCCCCACTCCTGGGGCCAGCGGAAATTTTGAGACTCAGGGCGGCTTACAATGTGTTAAGCAATAGCCTTCATACTTTTGTATATACCTGCTTAGTAGGGCTTTTGCGCCCCCCCCAACAAGCGGTGTTCTTTTTTTATACAAAGTCAGCTTATTGCCCCCACAATCCGGGTCCTCATTTTACCTACCTCGGAAGGATGGAAGGCTGAGTCAACCTTGAGCCTGGTGAGATTCGAACTCGCAGTAATTGCAGGCAGCTGGTGTTATCTTAGCAGTGCTTTAGTCTGCTGCGCCACCAAGGCTCTTCTCCCTTTGCTTTTTCTAATCGTGCGAATTAACTTTATGCAGTGTCTTTCTGCCCCAAAAACTGTTTTCATTTTTTCCCGCCCACCCCCCCACTTCAATGCAGGAGAATTAGCTAAGGAAGTTAGATGGGCTTGGGGGGGGTGAACCGAGATCAAATAAACGGATTTACATTTATTGCCTTTTGCAAGTTACGAAGGCTCCTTGGGGAAATGGCACAAAAGCAAAACATTCCTCTTTGCATGCCTGGAAGTGATTTGAATGATTCCAAGGAAAAGGTCACATACAGCTTTTTTTTTTAAAAAAAAAATAAATAAATAAAAATCCAATGCAACAAAATGGATTTTGCTCTCTGCTATTTTGGCACCACATGCCAAAAAGGGAATAAGATACTTCGCTGCAATTATTTGTAGAAGTCTCTAACTCTATTGCAGGGGTCTCCAACCTTGGCAACTTTTAAGACTTGTGGACTTCAACTCCCAGAGTTATGGGAGCTGAAGTCCTCAAGTCTTAAAGCTGCCAAGGTTGGGGACCCCTGCTCTATTGTATTCTCTGCAGAATTTTAAAGCTAGTAAGGGCATCGACACTCCCCGGAAGCAATTTTTTAAAAATTATTTTGCAAGGGATCCTTCCAGCAACTCACATGTGCAGGAGGCTTTGCTTGCTGGAAAAATGTTTTGCGTGCTCCGTCCCTGGAGTTTTTCAATTAAAAAAAAAAACCCTGCACAGCCCTTTGTGTGAGATGTAATAAGGTCCTTTGCAGGGGTGAAATCTAAAATTTGTTGCTACCGGTTCTGTGGGCGTGGCTTGGTGTGTGTGGGCATGGCCAACTTTTTTTTTTTTTTTACTTTTAAAAGCATTTTTTCTACAACCTTAAGAGTTTGCAGGAAAAAAATGCTTTTAGAAGCCTCTGACGATCAGGCAACTCAGCTGGGATCGTCAGAGGGTTTTAAAAGCATTTTTTCAACAACCTCTTTGGCTGAAAAAATGCTTTTAAAAGTAAAAAAAAAAAGCCTCTGACGATCAGGCAACTCAGCTGGGATCGTCAGAGGCTTTTAAAAGCATTTTTTCAGCCAAGAGGTTGTAGAAAAAATGCTTTTAAAAGCCTCTGACGATCCCAGCTAAGCAGCATGATCATCAGAGGCTTTTTTTTTTTACTTTTAAAAGCCTTTTTTCGGCCGAAGAGGTGGTAGAAAAAATGCTTTTAAAAGTAAAAAAAAAACAGCCTCTGATGATCTCGTGGCTCAGCTGGGCATGGGGGTGGGGGCGCAGGGATTTTTCCTACCGGTTCTCCGAACCACCTGCCGCCATCACTACCGGATCGGGCGATCCGGTTGGAACCGGGAGCATTTCACCCCTGGTCCTTTGTCTTGGGCAGGGGGTTGTACTAGATGTCCTCCAAGATCCCTTCCAACCCTAGGACTCTTATGGTTTTATGGCGTGCATCTTCTCGTATAGCTCAGCGTTTCTCAAACCTACCAACTTCGAGAAGTTCACACATCATAAAATGACCAAATTTGAGCAACAATAGAATAGCTTTATGGGTAAGTCACTCATAGAATACAGTACAATTCTGGATTTATAAACAGAGGCATAGAATCAAGATCCAATAAAGTATTAGTACCACTTTATAAAGCCTTAGTAAGAGCACACCTGGAGTAATGCAACCAATTTTGGTCACTCATACTACAAAAACGATGTTGAGACTTTGGAAAAAGTTCAGAGAAGAGCAACTAAAATGATCAAAGGCCTGGAGACTAATCCATAGGTAGAACAGCTGCAGGATTTGGGTCTGGCTAGTTTGAAGAAAAGAAGAATTAGGGGTAACATGATAGGAGTATTCCAGTATTTGAGGGGCTGCCCCAAAGAAGAGGGAGTCAAATTATTCTCCAGAGCACCAAAGAAGGCAGGACAAGAAACAATGGTTGGAAACTAACCAAGGAGAGAAGCAACCTGGAATTAAGGAGAAACTTCCTAACAGTGAAGACAATTAACCCGTGGAACAGCTTGCCACCAGAAATCGTGGGCGCTCCATCAGCGGAGGTTTTTAAGAAGAGACTGGACAGCCATTTGTCTGATGTGGTATAGAATCTCCTGCTTGAACAAAGGGCTGGACTAGATGACCCTACGGTCCCTGATTGATTAAAGAATTGATCCTTTGAATAGATCCAGTGTCTTCAAAGGGGCCCCACCATCATGCGAAATGTAAAAAGGTCTCATTATTACCCAGTTGAGCTTCCTCATTAAGCGGTCCAGTTTTTCCCACTCCAAAAGGTGTTCCTGAAAATCTATATTATTTGGATAGCTGTTAAGACTCCGGGTTTTTTTTTAAAAACTTCCTGTTCAATGCACATTAACATTTCAGAGGCATCTGATAGCTTTGAACAAAGGCAGAGCTATTCCTTCTCAAACGGGGTTTTAGTTACCGGTTAAAATTTACATTCCCGCGGGAACCAATTAGAATAGGGTTGATATCGCAAGGTAAAGAGTTTTTCTGCTATCCATCAGGCACACCAAAAAAATAAATAAATACAGCTCTCTGCAGCGCCCCACAATCAGTGCAAAGATGCCCCATAGCAAGCAACGTGTTGCTTCACAATTGTAGTGTCCGCTTTACGACCGTCAGGCTTGTTTAATGACCACCGCGGAAAGGTTGTAAAATCAGGTGTTGGCATGTGATGACCTGCTTAACAACGATCACAACTTACCACCGGAATTGCAGGCTCAATTAGTCCTCATTATGTCGCTGACTACTTGTATCCTTAAATTGCTGCAAAAGAGAAACAGAGAAGTGATGTCAAGAAAGGTTTGGAAAACCGAAGGAGAGAAAACATCCTTCCGAAATTTGAAAAAGGAAAAAGTGCAAGTGGTTTTCAGAGTCACCTATCAAAACAACCAAAAAAAGAAGTTTTTTTTTTCCCCTTTTTGCTTGCAATGATCCAGAAAACATACAGGTCAACCCAATACCCTCACTTGAGGCACAAATCACCAGGTTTGAATTATCAACAAAACAAAAAACGGTGGAAATTTTGGCATCCAACTCAGACCTTCTAAAACCCCTTTAAAATATTTCCCCTTATGCTTAAAAAAAAAAAAAAAAATCTCCTCTTGGAATTGTATTTGCTAAAAACTGGAAAGGAGAGAAGAGACCTACTGATGATGATGTTATTAAGAAATTTTGGAATGTGCTGAAATGAGCAAATTGACATTTGAAATTAGAGAACAGGAAGATAAACAATATTACTTGATATGGGACTTATTTTGCCCATGGCTAGATAATAAAAGCATGGAAATGAAATATGAAATGGATGTAATAATAAAATACATAAAGCGGGTTTTTTTTTTTATGGGAGATAAGCCATTGTTAAATAATTGGTAAATGAGAATATGGATATGGGATTAAGCATAAAAGATTTGTAACCGATCAATACACTTTCTGTAATGGTAATGGATGATGGTGGTTTTAAGTTTTGTTTAAAAATAAAAAACTTTTTTTTAAAAAAAATCTTCTCTTTTGTTTTTTTACAGTTAATTTTCCATCTAGGATAGATAGATGGATGGATGGATGGAAGGAAGGAAGGAAAGAAGGAAGGAAAGAAAAAGAAGGAAGGAAGGAGGGGAGGAAGGAAGGAAGGAAGGAAGGAAGGAAGGAAGGAAGGAAGGAAGGAAGGAAAGAAAGAAAGAAAGAAAGAAAGAAGAAAGAAAGAAAGAAAGAAAGAAAGAAAGAAAGAGGGAGGAATGATGAAAGGAAGGGATGAAGGGGAGAATTTGGGGTAAAACTCTCAATAATCCCATTTTTCTTCAAAAAGGTCAAGGCCAAATGAGCTGAACTTCAACCAAATATTTTCTATTGAACATTATTTATTTATTTATTTATTTAATTTGATTTGTATGCTGCCCTATCTCCATAGGACTGAGGGCGTGTCACAACAACTAAAATCAAACCAGATTAAAAACATATTAAAATACAAATTAAACATATGTGAAAACTCATTAAAACGGAATAAAACTCATTATATTGCATTGTATCATATCTATATCTATATCTATCTATCTATCTATCTATCTATCTATCTATAGGGTCAGGGTTCCTCTATTATAATAATATTCTTTTTTTTTCTATATTAAGCGTTCATTAAACCCTATTAAACGTTCAATTTCAACAGCAGATTCTTAACAAAATTACATAACATATTTAACATATTTATTATGCTATTATACTATTATATCATAAAATATTTTGTAATAAATAATTGGAAGGAAGGAAGGAAGGAAAGAGGCGGCCCTGCAAAGCAGCCGAAGCCACCCACCCGACGGCCGCTCCTCCTGCCAGCCTGCCGGGGCCTCGGCCTCTCCCGAGGGCGGCGCCGAGGCTCCACGCGGCTCCCCTGCGCCGCGCTCCCCGAGCCCGCTGGGCTTTTAAAGGGCGGCCGCTGCTTCCCCGACGGGCGGCCAGCTGGGAAGAGACGCCGCGCAGGCTTTTTTCTCTCTCCTCCCTCCCTCCCTCCTTTCTTTCTTTCTTTCTTTCTTTCTTTCTTTCTTTCTTTCTTTCTTTCTTTCTTTCTTTCTTTCTTTCTTTCTTTCTTTCTTTCTTTCTTTCTTCCTTCCTTCCTTCCTTCCTTCCTTTTTTCTTTCTTTCCTCTGAGTCACGCTGCTTTGCAAACTTTTTCTCTTTCCTTTCTCCTTCCTTCTCTCTTTTCTATCACTTTTTCCTTCCTTTGTTCCTCCCTCTCTCTCTCTCTCTCTCCCTCTTTCTTTCCTCTCTTTCTTTCCTCTGAGTCACGCTACTTTGCAAACTTTTTCTTTCTTTCCTTTCCTTTCTCCTTTCTTCTCTTTTTTCTATCACTTTTTCCTTCCTTTGTTCCTCCCTCTCTCTCTCTCTCCCCCTCCCTCCCTCCCTCTTTCTTTCCTCTGAGTCACACTGCTTTGCAAACTTTTTCTCTTTCTTTCCTTTCTCCTTCCTTCTCTCTTTTCTATCACTTTTTCCTTCCTTTGTTCCTCCCTCTCTCTCCGTCCTCTTTCTTTCTTTCTTTCTTTCTTTCTTTCTTTCTTTCTTTCTTTCTTTCTTTCTTTCTTTCTTTCTTTCCTCTGAGTCACGCTGCTTTGCAACCTTTTCTCTTTCTTTCCTTTCCTTTCTCCTTCCTTCTCTCTTTTCTATCGCTTTTTCCTTCCTTTTTCCTCCCTTCCTCCCTCTTTCTTTCCTCTGAGTCACGCTGCTTTGCAAACTTTTTCTTTCCTTTCTCCTTCTCTCTTTTCTATCACTTTTTCCTTCCTTTGTTCCTCCCTCTCTCTCTTTCCTCGGATGGCCACACTGCCTTTGCAAACTTTGCTCTTTCTTTCCCTCTCTTTCTCTTTCCTTCTCTCTTTTCTATCACTTTTTCCTTCCCTTGTTCCTCCCTTTCTTTCTCTTTCTTTCCTCTGAGTCATGCTTTGCAAACTTTTTCTTTCCTTTCCTTTCTCCTTCCCTCTTTTCTATCACTTTTTCCTTCTCTTGTTCCTCCCTCTCTCTCTTGCCTTGGATGGCCACACTGCCTTTGCAAACTTTGCCCTTACTCTCCCTCTCTTTCTCTTGCCTTCTCTCTTTTCTATCACTTTTTCCTTTGTTTTCCTTCCATTGTTCCTCTCTCTCTCCCTCTTTATTGAGTCAAGCTGCTTTGCAAACTTTTCTCTTTCTTTCCTTTCCTTTCTCCTTCCCTCTTTTCTATCACTTTTTCCTTCCCTTGTTTCTACCGCCCCTCTCTCTTTCCTCGGATGGCCACACTGCCTTTGCAAACTTTTCTCTTTCTCTCCTTTTCTTTGCCTTTCTCCCCCCTTCCCTCTTTTCTATCACCTTTCCTTTGCTTTCCTTCCGTTGTTCCTCCGTCTCTCCCTCTCTTTCAGGACGGGCATTCGGCCAGGGGCCTCACGGGACCATCCAGGGACTGGCGGGGGTCTTGTTCAAATCGCTTTCACTTCTTCCACTTTCCCTCCTTCCAACCCCCCCTAATGAAAACAAACCCAATATGAAAGGCTTGGGGGAGGGGCTGCAATAATCAAAGTGGCAGCTAGGTGGCGGTAAAGAACAAGGCTTCAAGAACCTCCTCTGCAGGCCAAACTTCCTCTACCGCCATGGTTAAATACAGAGAGTCCTCGATGTAACGACCGTTCGTTTAGTGACCGAAGTTACAAAGGCACCGAAAAGTGCGAGCCAGGACTGTTTTTCACACTTAACGACCCTTGTAGCATTCCTCCCCCCCCCCTTATGGTCACGTAATCAAAATGGTTGGTTTTAAAATTTGATACGGATTTTTAAATTGATAAGTTTTAAATTACGGGCCAAATTTATTTAATTATTTTAAATCTATTTTTAACTTTATGTATAAATGTTTTTTATATCTTGGCTGTTCACCGCCCTGAGTCCGAAAGGAGAAGGGAGGTATAGAAGTTTGAAAAATAAATAAATAAATAAATAAAATTCGAACTCTTTGCAACTGCCGTGCATTTATGACGGTTGCAGTGTCCTTGGGGGTCGTGTGATCCAATTTTGCAACCTTCTGACAGGATCTATCAAGCAGGATCTCCTGCTTGAGCAAGGGGCTGGACTAGAAGACCTCCAAGGTCCCTTCTGGCTCGATTCTGATTGTGACGGATTCAGGGTCAGGCCTGTTAGTTCAGGGGTCTCCAACCTTGGCCGCTTTAAGACTTGTGGACTTCAACTCCCAGAATTCCTCAGCCAGCTTTGCTTTGGAGACCCCTGTGTTAGTTAGCTTTGGGATAGGAGACCACCAGAAGATCTCAGGACAGGACGTGAGCAGAGGAAGTGGGAAGAAATATCCCCAAATAAAATGACGAATCACCTCTGCCCTGTTGCCAAGAAATCCTACGAACGTGGATGTGTCATTGGGGGGAAGCTCATCCTGAGGGAGATGCCAGTCACTCCTTGGCTGTTCCAGAGGGCCTGTTTGATGACGGATCCAGCCTAGAAACCGGGAGACTGGGAGTTCTAGTCCCACCTTTGGCACAAAGCTAGCTGGGTGAACTTGAACCATAGGACACAGATTCGTAGGGCCGGAAGGGAACTTGGAGGTCTTCTAGTTGAACCTCTTATTTGGAGGTCTTGTCAAAGTAGTTGCTAGAAGTCAAAGGCAAGAAGGAGGAAGAGGAGGAGGAGAAAAGAGGAAGAAGAAGAAAGAAGGAGGAGCAGAAGGAGAAGAAGAAGAGGAGAGGAAGAAGAAGGAGAAGAAGAAGAAAGGAGGAAGAGGAGGAGGAAGAGAAGAAAAGAGGAAGAAGAAGAAAGAAGGAGGAGCAGAAGGAGAAGAAGAGGAGGAGAAGGAAGAAGAAGAGGAAGAAGAAGGAGGAAGAAGAAAGAAGGAGGAGGAGGAGGAAGAGAAGAAAAGAGGAAGAAGAAAGGAGAAGCAGAAGGAAAAGAAGAAGAGAAGGAAGAAGAAGGAGAAGGAGAAAGGAGGAGGAGGAGGAGGAGAAGAGGAGGAGAAGGAGAAGAAGAGGAGGAAGGAGAAGAAGAAGGAGAAGAAGAGGAGAAGAGGAGGAGAAGGAGAAGAAGAGGAGGAAGGAAAAGAAGAGGAGGAGAAGGAAGAGGAGGAGAAGAAGGAGAAGAAGAGGAGAAGAAGGAAGAGGAGGAGGAGGAGAAGAAGAAGGAGGAGGAGGAGGAGGAGAAGGAGAAGGAGAAGGAGAAGGAGAAGGAGAAGGAGAAGAAGAAAATAATTCCAGGCAAAATAATACAGCATAAATGCTTCTTGGACTGATTGGATAGATGAACAGGCAGCTTCAGCTGGGTTACCAAGTCCATCCTCAACGAACGTTGATTTTTAAAAAAACAGAAAGAAAACGCAGAAAGAAAAAGTCAGCGGCGCTTATGAATGAAAACCCCTTGCAAAACAGTTGGTGTTGCCACAGATTGCAGTTTCGTATGTTTTAACCCACTCCGAGACCGAGCAAGAGCAACCCTTCCCATCCTGCCCCCAGATGCACCCGCGGAGATTAATTATCCCATGCCTTCTTAGTTATTCATACTTTCCCCAAAGAACAGCCAACCACAACATTTGGGAACACAACGCTTGCCAGTACAACAAACCATAAATGAACATATTGCTTCTCCTTTTCATTTGCAGCATTGGTCATAATGAATTTTAATCCTGGGGGGCGTCCGTGAGACTGGGTGTGCAAATCTTAATTAACCCTCCTAGCAATAATTGGTTTTACGGCCATGCACCTTTGCAGGATCTACGCCAGAGGTCTTCAAACTTGGCAGCTTTAAGACTTGTGGACTTCTGAGAGTTGAAATCCATAAGTCTTAAAGCTGCCAAGTTTGAAGACCTCTGATCTACTCCGATCGACTGTGATTGTTAAGGCTTGCATTAATATTCTGCCCCAAAGGGGGAAAAAAAGCATACTGCATTAAATTTGCCTTGTCCCACTTCTGGTATTTTCATCATTCTGATTTTCAGCTGGGGTTTCTGAATAAACCCTCCATAATGATGTCTTCAATTTTCTTTTTCTTTTTCTTTTTTTAAACTTCAGGGTTCGGCACTGAGATGTAATTCTAAAAATGCGACCTCTGTATGTTTGAAAGTCTCCGTTAGCACAAGTCTATTAAAAACACACGTTCGGGTATTGATTTAAGATCATGCAAATTCTTTTCCGACTTTGTCACAAGGGAGCCGAGCACTGCTGTG